CCTCCCTCCCTCCCTTTCTCCCTCCCTCCCTTCCTCCCTTCCTTACTTCCTTCCTCTCTCATACAAGACCTGAGGTACAGGCCAGAGGTGCAAGTGGTGAAAGGACTCACCAGACACAGTATGGGGAGAACAGGCAGATCTACTGAAATACACTGCTAAGGGGAGCAGTGGGTGGGACAGGAGAGGTCTGCTGTGCCATGTGGGTCACAGTGACTGGTGATAGCTTGACAGTACTGACTTTAACTCCAGTACCACCAGGTAGGCCCCCCCTTCTTTTTATTTTTTTAAGGTCTTGTTTATTTTTGTATAGAAGAACTGGAGTACAGGCCAGAATTGCAGGTGCTGAGAAGATTCACCAGAAACAGAGTCAGAAGCAGAGCAAGTGGTTTTACTGAAACACTGCTAAGGGGAGCAACAGGCAAGAGGTCTGCTGTGTCATGTGGGTCAGCTCCCTGGCTGGGGATCGAACTCAGACCTTAGTGGTAATAGTGCTGAGACTTAACTACTAGGCTACCAAGGAGGCCCAGATTTGTCCTTTCTTATACAACCCACTTTTTAGACCCCCTCTCCTACACACCGCCATCTTCCAATATACCTACCCACCACCCCTTTCTGTAGGAAACACACTAGCCCCTCAATGTTTCACATACCTACTACACCACACCCTAACAAAAACTGGGCTCTCACTGACACCAACTAGGCACATCTGCTTAAAATCTCTTTGATTCATATACTGTGAGGTACACTGATCCCTCATATACTTAAGAGCTCAGATTTAAAGGTTAAACTATTCCTGTGCACACATACATACTCACTCTCTTGGATATACATATTGGCCCTTGGTAAATCTCATTGCCATACAAGCAGACATGTTTATTGCCTTTTTTTAAGGTATATTTATCTATGCATACAGAACTAGGGTACAGGCTAGAAGTACAGGGGTGGTGAGAGGATTCACCAGAGACAGTGGGGAGCAGAATAAGCAGACTGATAAAGTACACAGCTGAGGGGAACAGCAGGAGAGACAGGAGAGATCTGCCACACCATGTGGGTCAGCTCCCTGGATGAGGATTGAATTCGTGCTGAAGCAGCTGGGTCTAGCTTCACAGTGCTGTCACTTTTAACCTGTTGTGCCACCAGGGAGGGCCATGTGCTCATTGCCTTTTTCAAACACATTCATTCCTTTTTATAATTTTAGAGAAAGTATGCTGTCCAATAACGGCCTGGTAAATGTTTAATGACCACCTCTGCAGGTTGAGAATGAAGAATTCTGATTTACACCATTTACCAATTTCTACAAGGTAAGTATTCTGAGCAGGCCAATTTCTAGCTCTCCATGGTCTTAGAACTTGTTATAACATTCCTGAAAATTTAACAGTAGCTGTCAGGAGTGCTCTGCTCCAGCACAGCTTCAGATGCTGACCCTCACAGAAACCCTCACTTGCTTTGAGTGCCTCACTGGTCCTGATGAAGTGGCTAAGAGTGAAGCTTTTACTTCTTGGCCTCATGGAGGCAGTGTAGCGTGTGGTTGACACCTCTTATGGTGTTATTTTAATGGATTTTGATGGGGCTTTAAAGGTTAACATTTGTTTTTCCAGTGAGGTTGATTAAGGCTTGAGAACAATACCTAGCCCATAATGAGAACATTGTAAAAAGGAAAAATCATAACCCTTTCTGGTTCCTTGACATCCCCAGCCCTCAACACTCACATCCAGGATCCTAGAAATACGGATCCAACTCTTCTCCACATAAGAGTTCTATTGAGGGCCCTCTCTGGTGGCACAACGGGTTAAAGTGCAGCACTATGAAGCTCTCCGCAGCCACTTCAGCATGTGTTCAACCCCCAAACAAGGAGTTGACATACATGGCATGTCAGACTCTACTGTCTCACCTGTTCCCCTCAGCAGTGTACTTCAGTCCATTTCCTGTTCTGCACACCACGCTGTCTCTGGTGTGTCTTCTTACCCCCCTCACCTCTGGCCTATACCCCAGTTCTTGTATAAATAAATAAATCCTTTTTTTTCATTTTATTTATTTTTATTTTTTAAATAATATAATAGTTTATTTTAACATCATTTTGTGCCTTTTTCCATCTCAGTTGTAATCCCAAGGGCTTCCTATCACCAAGTCACGTGTGTGCCGTCACCATAGTCCCATGCACTCCACACACCCCCCATTTTTGATCCCATTCCCCACTCCATCCCCATAAAATGTCTCTGGTATATAGTTGTTCGTTATTATTATTATTTTCTCCCCTGGTCCTTTGTACTCCTGTTCTGAGTGAAACCATCCGGTATTTTACCTTTTCTTTCTGGCTTATTTCACTAAGCATGATCTTCTCCAGCTCCATCCATGTTGCTGCAAAAGGCATGTGCTTATCTTTTTTGGTTGCTGAGTAATATTCCATTGTGTATATGTACCTCATCTTTTTAATCCAGTCATCCACTTTTGGGCATTTGGACAGTTTCCATGTCTTTCCAATTGTGAATAAAGCAGCAGTAAACATGGGGGTGCAGGTATCTTTTTGAATCAGTGTCTTTGTGTCTTTTGGGTAGATACCTAGGAGTGATATTGCTGGGTCGCAAGGAAGCTCCATGTTTAGCAGTTTGAGGAACCTCCAAACATTTTCCCATAATGGTTGTACTCCTTTGCATTCCCACCAGCAGTGCCAGAGAGTTCCTTTTTCTCCACATCCTCGCCAACATTTGTTGTTGCTAGTTGTTTGAAGATGTGCCATTCTCACTGGGATGAGGTGGTATCTCACTGTGGTTTTAATTTGCATCTCCCTTATTACAAGGGATGTTGAATATTTTTTCATATGCTTGTTGGCCATCTGTATTTCCTCTTTGGAGAATTGTCTTTTTAGCTCTTCTGCCTATTTTCTGATGGTGTTGTTCACTTTATTTTTGTTGAGTTTCATCAGTTCTTTGTACATCTTTGTGATCAGTCCTTTATCGCTAGTTTTGTGTGAGAAAATTTTTTCCCAATGAGCAGGATGTCTGTTTTTTGTAATGTCTCTTTTGCTGAACAGAAGCTCTTTAACTTGATGTAGTCCCATCTATTTATCCTTGCCTTCACTATCATTGTGTTGAGTGCTGAATCTTCAAAGATGTTACTGAAGTATATGTCATGTAGTGTTTCGCCCATCTTTGCTTCCAGGTTAAATAAATCTTTTTTTTTTTTTAAATGAGTTCTATGGAGCATCCCTGGACTATACCTTCTGAGCAGAGGTATGCTCTCAGCTGTATGGTGCACCCTGTCAGGACTCCAGCATTTAGGAGGAGGAAATCAAGAAGGTCAGAGGGGAAGAGATTGCAAACTGGCAGCCCTCAGGCAAATTCAATTCTCAAAAGAGTTTTGTTTGGTCAGCAGAAGGCTTTAGGGGCGCTGTCTCTTCCATTTCACAGTCCTCATCCTGCCCATTGTCCCACACCCTTCCCACTTTGCTCATTGATGTTACTGGCACAGTGGCCCAGCCTGTCCAGTTTGCTACTCCCTGCTTTTAAAACTAATACCCTTGTATTTTTTAAACTGAGGAAACTGAGGCTTAAGTGTGTGAAGAAGAATAACAAAAGTTAACTTTTATGGACCACTTACACTGTACCAGGCATTATCTTAATTAATATTTACTTTAATCCCATGAGGTAGATACTTCTTTATCTTTTTTTTTCCCCCAGGCAGGAAACTGAGGCTTAGAAAAAGGAAAAATCCAACTAGTCACAGACCTAATATAGGATTTGAATCTAAGTGTGTTTGACTCTGGGCTATTAAATCGTGACTAGATCACATTTGACGTGATCACTTTTGATAGAAGAGGTAGTATTCAAGGCAGGGAGAGTCCCAGCGAAGGAGGAGAAACAGCTTTGCCTTCTGTGAGTGCAGGGCCTGCGAGAAGGCAGCAAGCAAGCTCAGGAAGGACTGGCACAGGGGAAGTTAAAGGTATAAGTTTGGGACTGACTTGCTCACTTCTCTCACCCCCCACCTCCATCACCCTAGCAAAAGCCTGGACTCTCCCGGGAGCCTCTAGCCAGCCTTCCGCTTCCACTTCCATCCCTGTGCATCTCAGTAGAATCCTCACAATAATCAGAGTGATTGTTTTGGAATGAAAATATATGTAAAGAATACTATAAAAATGTTGAAGAATTTACAGAGAAATGTGGGGAAAAGTGACCTGTGGAGTAAATTCTCCCAGGACTGATTCCACTAAGTGTGAGCAGAGACACCCCCAACAATGCATTCCGGCACCTGCAGAGCAGCACTCTGGAAAACTTAAACATGTCACCCTCTGGTGAATCCATGAAAATAGATTTCTCTAGTCTTTTCCTACTTAATATCCTTCTAGGACTTTCCCTTGCACTGAGGAAAAAATCCAGAAGCTTTCAGATGGTTTGACCAGCAGCATCTACCTGGGCTTCTCTCCTTATTGTGTATTTTGCTCCATAACAATAATATTGGCTGATACTTATTAAGGCTTCCCTCGTTCTGTGTGTGTGTGTGTATGTGTTTGAATGTCTTACATTTTTAATCCTTTCTTTACAGGTTATTTAGATCACTTTTGATTAAGAAAACTGTAGGAAGTTAGTAACTGCCACCAGCAAACACCAGGGGGTGACATGTTTAAGTTTTCCAGAGTCCTGCTTTGCAGGGTGCCAGACTGTTGTTGGGGGTGTCTCTGCTCACACTTATTGGAGTCAGTCCTGGGAGAATTTACTCCACAAGTCACTTTTCTTTGTAAACTCTTCAACATTCTTATAATATTATTTACAGCTCTTATAGTCAGTATGAGGAGGGTGCTTTGGGCTAAGGGCTAAGGGGGTGTGTGGCTCATTCACCAGTGCTGGAAAGGACTGGAAGGACTGGATTACTCTGTCAGTTTTGGTGCTGGGGGCCAGTTTTCAGCACTAATTACAGGCAAACAGACCTGCCCCTTTTCATCTATGTTTGGGTAATAGATTTTAGTTTTAAATGTGCTTTTCTGTGCTAGAAATTTTATTTAAACTATGAAGTCCCCCTTATGTAGAGTGTTGTCAAAGACAAAAAGCTCTAGTCAATAAATTAGCTTCCTTGACCTGAATATTAAGGAAGTTTTTCTTTTTCTTTTTAAAATTTATTTATGCATACAGAACTGGGGTACAGGCCAGAGGTGCTGGCGGTGAGAAGATTCACCAGAGACAGAGTGGGGAGCAAAACAGACAGATCGATGAAGTACACTGCTGAGGGGAGCAGTGGACAAGACAGGAGAGGTCTGCTGTGCCATGTGGGTAGGCTCCCTGGCCTGGGATTGAACTCTGGATGATTAGCTTCTCAGTGCTGCATTTTAACTTGTTGCCACCAGGGAGGGCCCTAGAGAGGTTTTTCCTTCCACATTTGCAGATTTCAAAAGCTCCCTCATCAAACCTCCCCAGGCCTCCATTGTAGACATGAGCCTGCTGCTTCCTTGGAATGATTCACAGCCCACCAGCCCTTTGGTCATTTTACCCTTCAAGTCTTACTCTGCATAAGAGTCATCTTTTCGGTGAGACTCTCCTGACTACCCCAGTTATTCTATGTAAGGCTTCGTTGCCCTCCCTAGTCTTATTTCACAGAATGTAGCACCCTGGGTGCCTGGGTGAATTGGGCCAAAGGGGTTAGCTGTATGATGAGGGCAGAACTGGACTTTTAGGGGTAAACTTAATGTAGCATAGTCACATGTTGATGCGCACCTGAAACAATGTCATATGCAAGATTAATGCAATAGAAAAATAAAAACTTAGCACACCACGTGATTACTAATGTGTTTGTGTTTAAAGATTAAGGTCCAGGGACAAGGATCGTTTCCTGTGGTGCTGTTGCTAATCTCAAACAAAGAGCAACCGGTGAGTCAACAAAATGGGTTTATTTAGAAACAATAACAAAATAAAACTTGGAAAGCACAGTCTTCTGGTGAGGCTGACATGACTTTCCCAGCCCCAAAGCCTGTACACCCTAATGTCGTCTCTGGAAGGGCTGCTGCTGAGTAAGGTGTGTGGGGAAGCCACATCACCTCCAGTTGCAAGGTGTGCTGGGGCCTATAGTTGCTGATTGAATGTGCCTAGGAAGGCTCATCTAGCACCCCCCCGCCTCATTTATTTGTTTTTTAATGATTTATTTATTTCTGCATACAAGAACTGGGGTATGGGCCAGAGGTGGTGAGGGGATTCACCAGGGACAGATGGGGAGCAGAACAGGCAGATCAAGGAATTACACTGCTGAGCAGACAGGTGAGGTCTGCTGTGTCATGTGGGTCAGCTCCCCGGCCAGGGATCGAATTCCTGCGGCAGTGACTGTGGACAGCGGCATAGTGCTGCGCTTTAACTCTTTGCCCCACCAGGGAGCACCCCCCACCTCATGTAACTAGAGTTTCTGTATGTTGATTTTGAAGGTGGATACCCAGTGATTAGCACAGTTCCTGGCTTCCTGAAGTCTCCCGTGAATATTCGTAGAACCTCATCATAGTTGGTAGTAAATGTCCGTAAGTGAATAAATTAACAAACGCAGGTAAGAGCCACATCTTGTTTTCATTGGTGGCACACAGGCAGACATACACTGTTAACACTCAGCAGACAACTGAGTAAGTTTTTGACAATGGGCACAAAGATTTATGTCAGCTCAAGCTTTATTGGTTTGGTTTCTCTTGGGTACCAGGGAGTGGGGCTGTGGCAGGAGCAGAGTCTGTGAAGCACATGCGCCAGGCCTGAGCTGGCTTTGGTCAAAATCACGGAAACCTGGGAGTGCGGAGAGAGAGGGGAAGTGGTGTCATTATCAGCCTGGAGTGAGTCAGCAAAAGCAACTTATCCCAACACACAGCCACAGCTTACCTGACCCCATCTCCAAATTACCTTTTTAGTCCCAACTAATCAAACTAACTCAAGAAAGTGCAGACTGTAAGCCACCTTCCCACGGAGGCTGCCTCAGTCTCCCTGCATTGTTCTGGTCACGCTGCTCTCTCCCTTCAAACCCTCTCCCAGGAAGCCCCCCCGGATTTGTTCCTGCAGCCCCTCCATAACATAACATCGCAGCACTGAGGTCTGAATGTGTCTGGTTTCTTTGCCTTGGCATCTGCGCCAAGTGAGTGTCCAGTCTCACCCTGGAGGAGGATGGAGCTCCCATGGCATTAGCCATCCTCACTTGCTGCTTGGTGAGACGGATTCAAGAACAATTCACACCAGCGGTGGCTACAGAGAGGGCCAACTTGGCGGGTTCCACCATGGTCTAGGGGGAAGCTGAGAATAGGGGGAGCAGCACAGCCAGGTGGGGAGGGCTGCTGAGGGCAGCATCTCCCTTGCAGGGAAAGTAACAGAAGTGCAAGTGGTAATAATCACAACATTGTGTCCTCACCTGTTGTTCCCAGAGCTTCCCGTGAATTATCTTAGTTACCCTCCAGAAACATACTTCAGAAAGCCTAAGTAATTTGCCAGTGTGTCTTGGGTGGCGATAGACATTTACACCTGACCCCAAAGCTCCATCTTATCACACATTGCAACACAGTCCAAACTACTGACACCCCCACCTGAGCCTGCAGAGGTTTGCCTGGTCCACCACCCAAGCCAGCAGCTCTTCACACTGTAGGTCCTTCAACAAATCTTCACCACTCAGGTCCTTGCGTGCAGAGCTACCGAGGAGAAAGAGGAGAAAGAGGAGAGTGGGGTCAGGTAATGGTCAAAGCCAGACAGAATCTCGTAGGAGAGACGGACCACCAGCCACCTCCATGAGTCTCCCAGAAGGCATTCCACAAACCCAGGCGATTACATCCTGAATATTCACTGGTTAGGATGACAGATGCCATAGATCCCTGACTTTCTCCGAGACAGGGTGACTGATTAGGGGGACTGGCCTTGGGGGCATTCTCCTGTTCACAGTACAACAGACACTTGGCAGAGTAGGTGGGGAAGCCAGTGCCAGAGGTTCCCTGGTGCCCAACCCCCTCCAGCACCCCACCCCCACTTCTCCCAGGCTTCTCCCTTGAGGGGCTGACCTCAGGAGGTCAGTGAAGACCCTCTTTGAACTCTGAGTGGAGGAGGATTCTTATCTAGATCCTCTGCCCTACTGGGGTGGGGGGGCGGCTGGTGGAGGGAACAATAAGGTGGGGGGTGGGGGCGTGTCAGGAGGCCCCACACTACCTTTCCCCTGGGGGCTTACTCACCCCGGCAGCTCCCCAGCCTCCTTCTTCTTGCCAGATTGAAGGGCCTGCTCCAGAGCTGGGGCCTCCCTCTGGGTGAGGTTGTGTTTCCAGCTGGTAGGATAAAGATTTGGGAGTGGGTGGGGCTGGGGGAGATGCCAGGTATTCTCCAGTCTAAGAAACTCAGGAATCTTCTAGTACCTCAAAGGGAGAAGCTGAGAGGGTGCCCCTTTCTCCACTCAGTCTCACCACTCCTTATCCTCAGCAACCAGTGAAACGCTCTCCAGAATCTAACATGCTGACCCAGGGCAGGGACAGAGACTTGGTAAAGAAACGGAAGGATGAAATGGTTTATCCTTTTCCCAAGTCTAAAGGGACGATCACCAGCCCAATGACAGCAGTTGGCTCCCCTTACCTTTACCCCCAGCCCCATGGGCTCCTCTGTGAGCCCCACAATTTCCCCAGACTCCCTTCCTTAGGAGGAAAGGGTCGGAACGCTGGCCCAAGGTCCTGGCCAGGGCCACCACACTGTCCAGCCCCATAGTGGCCTAGTAGAATGTGCCTCCTGGGCTGGCATTACCTGGCTCACACAGCTCCCAGCAGCACCTTGGAGGAGCAGGAGGGGCAGGAGTGGGCACGTGCAGTGACTCACCTGCTTTTCTTCCCCTTTTGTGCCAGCAGCCAGTTCACAAAGTCCTGTTGGCGGATCTTGTCCATGGCAATACTGTAGTCACTTATAAAAGTCCCCTCAGCATACCTGGGGCCTCGAGGTTGGGAGCCACTGACCTTAGGGTGGAATCTGAGGGGCAGAGAGGGAGAGAGGAGACAGGGTGCCATGGCAGCGGGGAAGGGGCGCCTGACTCCAGGCCAAGCTGAGAGCAGGCACCTGTTTCTTGAGTGTTTCCAGAGACACCCTCTTGTCCTCACCCCTTGGACTTTATCCTCAGCTCAAGGGCCCACTCCCTGCATCCTCAGCGTTTGAGACCCTGGCTTTCCAGCCAAAAGGGGTCTGGGAATCCCTGGCCCCAAAGAACTGGGTCACAGCTCCTCCTTTACCCCTCTTGCCCTCGCCTTTCCTGATTCAGTCCTCTGGTTCCATACTGAAGACAGTGAGTGCCCCCATAAAGCTCCTGCAGTGAGGGCCTCCTCATGGCGCTCTGGGTTAAAGTGCAGTACTATGAAGCCACTTCAGCAAGAGTTCAATCCCTGGCCAGGGAGCCGACCCACATGGTGCAGCACGGTCCTGTCCAGCCCGCTGCTCCCCTCAGCAGTGTATTTCGTCAATCTGCCTCTTCTGCTCCCCACTCTGTCACTGGTGAATCCTCTCACTCCCACACCTCTGGCCTGTACCCCAGTTCTGTAAGCATAAATCAAAAAAGCTTAAAATAAAATAAGCTCTTGCAGTGAGTTATGTCCCCTAGAAACCCTCTAATCCATATCAACTGATTTAATCCTCACAACACCACAGGGAGGGAGAGACTACAGCCCCTCTTGGTGAAGTGAATGAGGAAACCAAGGTGCAGAAAGATTACTTCAGCACACAAGTGGCAGATCTAGGATTTACCCCCAGGCAGACTGGGCCTAGGTCTAGTTCTTAACTTCTGCAAGAGGCTGCCTCTCCAGGTACAGCTCTGCCTCAAATTTACACAGTCAGATTTCCCTGGCAGACAGCTGGCTCATAGCCAAGAAGGCCCCAGTCTATTCAGTCAAGCTTTTCTTGGTTCCCCAAGGCCATTAGAGCCTCTAGCTGTCCTCACGCCTAAGGCCCTCTGTTCTTACTCACTACTCAGAGCAATTTGCCACATACCTCAGTGGTTCCTTGCCTATTTCCTCTTGGGTCCACATGCCCATGGAGACAGGGGGCCCCTGGGGACCACTCTTCATGTGTATCCTGGGTGCCTGGCACCCAGGAGGGCCTCTATAAACCCTGACTGAACGTAAGCATAGCTGAATAGTTACGGCCTTCCTTAGGAAGGGAGATGCTGTCGTCTGCTGCAGACACCTAACGGCTGAAGCCCTTCCAGAGAGCTGACCACAGTGTCTCCTGCTGCAACAGATATTCTGTTTCTGTACAGATATTCTGTTTCTGGTCTCTCTTTGCACAAGACAGCTGGTAGCCTCTCCCCAAGCCCCCAGTTTCTTTCTTCTGGACGCAGGGTTCCTCCTTTTCTCACCTCCCCCTTGAGCTTAGAAACAGCCAAGTCTTTCCCCAGCTTCTCCTCCCCTGCTGGGGTTCCCTCCCTTCCCACCCTGCCCACCTGGAGCTGGGCTCTTCCTTCTCCCCTAGCACCAGGGCCAGCAGCAGGGACACCAGCAGCAGAGAGATCTTCAAGGCCATCATCTTCCAAGGCAACTTCCTGAGCTGAGAAAGGAGAAGGGCCAGGATGAAGGGTGAGGGGTACTTCCGGGCCCTCAGAGCCCATACAGTCCTGACAGCTGGAGGCACTGAGCCCTGGGAGTTGGGGTTTTCCTAAGGCTGGAGCCATGTTTGGAGGAGGGTGGGGATACTAGGCATTAGAGTAAGTGACCAGGAGAGAGCGGGGCCTGGTCAAGAGTGACTCTGCTTTTGTCCTGCTTCATTTCTAAGTGCAGTGGGAGTGGGCTGGGTGGAGGGCGGTGGGGAGAGAGGCAGGCGGCAGAACACAGTGGAGACGTGTGTGTCCCCCTCCTGGCTGCAGTGACTAGACACCATAGGCATGTGGTTGGGCAAGATTCTCGCCTTGGGGTCCTCCGAAGTTCATACCAGCCAGCTTTGCAGCTTCAAGTTGGCTGTCACTGAAAGCACAGCATTCTTGCCTTGGCTGCAAATCATGTGTAGAAACATCAGTGTTCTCCTCTGGGCTTCACAGTCTTGACCCAGGGACATTGTCCCTGGAGTCTGCGCCCCAACCCCTCCACCCCATATTACCCCAGTCTCTCCTGTAGAGAGGCAGAGCAGCAGGGAACCTCCTCACCAAGAGCTGAAAACCAAAGTTAGACATGAACCTTCTGCAAGAGCCCTTCTTCCTGCCTTTATCACATGGGGAGTAAAGACCCCCATTGCACACCTTACTTTTTTATATTTATTTATGCATATAAGAACGGGGTGCAGGACAGAGGGGTGGGGGATGAGAGGATTCACCAGAGACATAGTGAGGAGCAGAACAGGCAGATCGACTGAAATACCGCTGAGGGGAGCAGTGGGTGAGTAAGAAGAGGTCTGCGGGCCATGTGGGTCAGCTCCCTAGCTGGGAATCGAACTCCTGCTTCAGTGGCTGCAGAGAGCTTCATAGTACCCATTGGGCCACCAGGGAGGGCCCCACCTTCTTATTTCTGATGGGAACAGTGAGCCAGCCAAGAGGGTGCAGAGTCTCTGGGGCTGCTGAGACCCACCTGCTCTCCAGCAGCTAGTACAGCCCCCAGCCCACCCCAGCTGCTCTCTTACCAGACGCCCCTCCTGGCTTTTCTTGAAGAAGGACAAGACTAGGTCTCCTCAGCGGACCTTCTGGCACTTCAGAGACTCAAGAAAGTCTCCCCTGTGCCCCTTTATATATCCAGGCACCAGAGCCACGATTAGCCTAAAAGCATCTTATCTCAAGAAATGAAGGCGGCACTGACACATGATAAAGTTGCCCTTTCCACTCCAACTGTGCTAATTGGTGATTAACATTTGGGTATCTCCAGCTGCAGTCTGGGGCCTAGCCCAGGCTAGGGACCACAAGTGCTCTGTTCTTCTCCCCCCTCCTCCCTTCTGGGTGCAGGGCCAGCTATTCCAGCCCCCTTCCTTTAGCTTACCTCAGGAAGAATGTCTTCCGTGAAGGCAGACCTGGGGCAGGGTGGACCCCAGCCCTGGAAATAGTGACCTCAGCTTGGCAATGTCCCCACTGTGACCCTGGTGGGAGTTCCCAAAAGGGGGAGAAAAGGCCTGGAGGGTGAGCACAAACATAACAATGGGGGTTCCCTGGTGGTGGCTGTGCTAGCTGAGAGTTTACACTCAAGCCATCTCCTGCTTAGTGCGAGGAATGGGGGGATGATGCACACTTAACCCTGGGAACTCAGGGAGAGGTGGTGGAGGCTACTACTCCATCTGTAAAGATTCATGAGCCCAGGCTCTCGCCCCCAACTGCCCTCCTGAGTCTGCACAGCTGTTTCTTGACGAAACTGTCCCTTCCAGATGCGGAGGGTCTGCCCACCTGTAACCAGATCACTTTCTTTCTTTTTTAAAAAGATTTATTTAGGGCCCTCCCTGGTGGCGCAGCGGATTAAAGCACAGCACAAAGAAGCTAAAGCCATTTCTGCATGAGTTCGATCCCCGCCTGCCCCGGAGGAGATCCACATGGCGTGGCAGACCTCTCCTGACCCGCCCGCTGCTCCCCTCAGCAGTGTGCTTCATCGATCTGCCTGTTCTGCTCCTCACTCTGTCTCTGGTGAATCCTCTCACCCTCCGCATCTCTGGCCTGTACCCCAGTTCTGTACGAATAAATAAATCTTAAAAAAAAAAAGAGATTTATTTATGCATACAAGAACTGGGGTGCAGGCCAGAGACGAAAGGGTGAAGGATTCTTCAGAGGCAGAGTGGGGAGCAGAACAGACAGATGGGCGAAGTACACTGCTGAGGGGAGCAGTGGGCGGGTCAGGAGAGGTCTGCCTTGCCATGTGGGTCAGCTCCCTGGCTGGGGATCGAACTCATGCTGCAGTGGCTTCATAGTACTGCACTTTTACTCCTTGCGCCACCAGGGAGGGCTTTGGTGTCACTTTCTTGTCCCTTTTCTCTTTTTTCTAATAAACCTGCCCTTTTGAATAACAAAACAAAAAGACAACCTGAGGTCTCTTTTCAAAAGCCCTAGCTCCTATATGAGACTATGTGGTCCTGTCTGTCATCAGGATGGGGAGCCCTGAGCAGACTAGCAGGCTGGAGGGCTCTGCAGGGCAGAGGCTTAGCTCCTGATCAGGGCTTTCTGAGGTCTGGGATGTGATCCAGGGCTGTCCTCCCCCGGTACAGGGGCTTCCTGAGGCCCAGGTCCTGTCCCCTCCCCACTGTGTCCCCCCCCCCTCCAGTGGGAGACTCCAGGAGTGCCCCTTTGTCTTTCTCCAAGTTCTTAGCACCCGCCTGCCCATGGGCTCTTGGTCTGAAGGGGCAGAGCACAGACTGCATTTCTGGCAACCCCAAGGACTCCCTCCCAGGCTCTCCCATCTCCACTTGCCAGGAGTACTTTGAACCGTAACACGCTGCCTATCTGCTCAGGCCTAATAAAGGCCACTTTCCTTTCCAGGTGAGCTCCCCTGGCCAGGAGCAGCTCCAGCATGAAATCGAGTGCTTGTGTGGGCTGAGAGCTCCCTGAGCCAGGAGGGCGGCTCACCTCTGCTTCCCAGAAACCTTGCCCACCCACCACCTATTTCTTACCATCTAGCAAAACATCTCTCTGGGCAAGCTCTCCAAATGCCATCTCCCAGCGATTAATGAGCCAGGGTTAGACTTCTGTCCAGATTAGACTTCTGAAGGGGATGTGGAGGCTACTTGTGATCACTCCTGCTGAGCAGCAGTTAATGGGCTCAGGAGGGGTTGTTACAACCCAGCAGCCTCTCTGGAGGCGGAAGGTATCCAGGAAGCATGGACACTGTTTCCTGGGACCCCCAATTCTGACGCCACACCAGAGTCAGGAAAGACTTTGTGACCCTGGAGTTCCTGACTGGGGTTCTGTGAATTTCTTTAGGGGTGGGTTGCACTGAAAGCCAAGTTGTGCTTTAATTCCTCACCTCAACCCGACTTCTTGGAGAGGGTCTCTCTGTAGCCCCATTCCCCTTTGATCTTTGACTCTCCTGCTTGACAGTGAGCAGACTAGAGAGAATGTGACCTGGGCCCTGGGGGAGGGAGGTATGTGGGGTCAGAGATCAGACAAGACGTCAGACACCCAGGGGGGCCTGTTGGCCCCTCCCCTGAAGGGCATACTGGGAAACAAAGGAATGGCCCAGCTGGCCATGGGCAGTTTCTGGGGATCAGAATTCTTGCTAGACTTGACCAAAATCACTTAAAAGATCCAACTGGCAACTGGGCCAGCCATCCACACTATAGTGAGTAGTCTAGGGTACAGAATGCAGGGTCACGCAGGGGAATCTCAGGGGGTTGTAGAGACCTAATTCACTGCAGGGAGTTTCCAGGATTCCAGCTGAGGGGTGAAGGAGAACACAGTGGATAGGGAGGCAGGAAGACACCCCCAAATGCAAAGGCTGATGGCCCAGACAGATGGAGCACTGGAGGTGGCGACATTTGGGGGCCCACGGAAATCAGTGTAGGGAGGGAGTGATGGGCATCACTGTCCTAAGAGAACATAGGTCCTCTCGGGGTGTGAGTCCAGCTCCAGAGTGAGGGCTGGAACAGCCTCAGAACCTTTAGGGTTTGCAGCCCATGGTGGTGACTCATCACCTCTAGTCCGGCAGGGCCACTGCAGACATTCCGGCCAGCTCACAACCAGGCCAGCCTGAAGCAAATGGCTGACCCAGCCTCCCTGCCTGTGCTGCTGCTTTTGAAGTTCACTTGGTCTCCAAGCTCACAGCTGACTCAGAGAGCAGCCTTCCCTCTCAGATCCTCTCACACCAGGTGGCGGATTAATCCTCCTCTTTTAGAGGAGACAAGAGGGGATGTGAACCCTGCCAAGCTGTGCCTGCTTCTGGTCTACCCTGCTTGCCCCAAGGACTACCTCCAGCTCTCCTCCCCAGTGTGGCACAGACTTAGTCATGGTCCTCAGCATTTGAGCCCACATTAGCCCTCAGTACCACTCTGGTCCAGATACTTTCCAGAAGGATCTTCAAGAAAGAATATGCTACCTACAGCCTCTCTTGACCCTTTGCTGCAAGGGATTAATTTGGAAGTCCCCTCTCAGTTCTAATCTCAACCCTTTTTGGTGTTTTCAAAGGCCATATTGTCTGCTTTTGTTTGTCAAGAAAATAGTTCAATGCTTCATAGTTGTAGACTAATCCTTGGGAGAACTGCCCTGCAGACTTAGAATTGGGAAGGGGTGGTCACAGGGGGAAATTCCTTCTCCCAAGGGAAGAGAAAGAATTGGTAATATATTTAAGAAAAAAGACTGAACCTGAACGGCCCAGACCCAGAATTCCTGGGTGCTGCCTCCCAGGTGGGAAAGGAAGAGAGGGGTGGGAAGGAAAAGCAGCTTTCTCTTTCTTTTCTGTGCATGGGAATGTGAAGACTGGAGCAGCTTCCAGAGTTCCCAGTGAACGCTCCCCCCCCCACACACACACCTTCATTAATTAGATTAGGTAGGGAGACAGAAAGAGGAAGAACTCAAGTCCCAGCTCCCACCTGCCCATCTCTTATCCACTTTGAACCTTAACCTGCCCCATCTC